TCTTCCCAGCAGTTATATAATAGGCACAAAATGCATCTAAGTACCAATTGCACAATGGGCTTTAAGGAAATAGTTATTGATTACAGTTTGTAAAGATCAATGTCAATTTTTTAAAAAGCTTAAATATTAGAACTGAGGTGGATCTAAAAGGCAGCATGGAATTATACTAAAAGGAAAGGGCAGAGTGAGAAAGCATGAACAAAAGTTTGAAGTCAAGAATAAGCTGGGTGTGGTGATGCATGCCTGTACTCCCAGTACTCTGGGAGGCCGAAGCAGGAGGATCACAAGTCTGAACCAGACTGGGCAACTTAGGAACTTTGTAAGATGCTGTCTCAGAAAAATTTAAAAAGTAAAGTACTGCAACAATAACAACAATGAAAGGGCTGGGATGTAGCTCAGTGTGAAGGCCCTGGCCTTAATCCCCAGTACCTCCAAAAAAGAAAGAAAGAAAAAAAAGCTCAGCATATATAGGTAGGAGTCTACCATGAAGAGTACAGACTGAGAGAGAAGAATTTGTCAGAACGTTAATGGTGATGGGTCTAAGTGTTCTATGTTCTGTTTACCTGTTGCTGCAAAACTGACCATTCCAAACTTAGTGGCATGATCCAATATAAACTTCTCTCTCACAACTCTAAGTATTGACCGGCCTCATCTTGGTGGTTGTCGCTCACACACTGCAGGTAGACAGTGGCTGAGCCTGGAGTCATCTCAGAGCCTCTTCACACTGCCAGTTTATGCCACTGTCCGCTGGGCCCTCCAGAGTGCTTGCTGTATGTAGGGTTTCCCCACGCATAGTGGCTGGGTTTCAAGGAAGTCTCAGGAGAGCTGGTAGGAAGCACCATTGCCTGTTTCAGCCTTGCCTCGGAACTCAGTGCTGGGTCACTGGGGAGATTGAGTACAGGTGTGGGGGTAAGTGTATTTGCATTCTTGAGCCATAAGCCAAGAATGAAAGGCCATGAATGCAGTGCTGTTTCATTGGACTGTTTTGTAGGGTGTGGTTACAGGGAGCAGCAGTGAGATGGATAAAATGAAGCTTGCCTAATGAAAAATATGAATCTCCCAAGCTTAGTGTTCTTCAGCTGCAGTTAGGAAATCTGTCAGTATAACGTGTTAGGTCAAAGGGGAAGAACTGCTTGAGTATTTCAGCAATTGATGAAAAGTCATTAGTAAAACTCAACATTTTTTCCTGTTTTTTTTTTTTTTTTAAAGTCCTGGCAAAAGAAAATAGTACATTTTAAGCATGCTTTTAATTAAAGATAACTATGAAACCAGAATCATTTTTCATGCTGTTAAATATGTCCCAAATAGAATTACAAATATCCAGGGCCAAGGATTTAGCTCAGTGGTTCCACTGCCTGCCTTGCAAGCACAAGGACCTGAGTTCTAGCCCTGGCACCAAAAAAAAAAAAAAATTACAAACGTCCACTTCAGCTGCTTTTTTTAAAAAAAAAAAAATACCATACTAATTTTAAGAATTTGGCAAATAGCGCAGAATAAGAAAATAATTTTATTTATTTATTATTAGTACATGTATGTAGTAGGTAATGTTTCCATTTTGTGTGTGGAACTGGTACATGTACAGAGCACATCTTCACTCCTATTTCCTTCCCCTCCCTCCCTCCCCCTCTACCCATCCCTTGATCCCTTTCTCATTTGAGAAAGATCTGTCTCCTTGCTTCCTATTACCTATCTCTTATTTTGTTCTCTATTTATAATTTGGGTTTCTCAAATAAGAGAAACCATATGATATTTAAGCTTGTGTGTCTAATTTCACTTAACACTATGGCCTCAAGATTTTTTTAAAGGAGACAACTTATTAAATGAAGTTATTATCTGATTACAAAATAAATACAAGAGAATCAGTTGAAAAATTGTTGGATGTGTCAGTAGAATTTGTTATGGTGGATGACTATAAAATATCCAAATATACCAAAAATAGCTATTCCAATATACAAAGATGAAATAGAATCCATTTATGAAAACAGTCAAAAATAAAGTTACAGAAAATGAAGAATCAATGTGATTGAATACTTGCTGAGATTTTGTACTGCAAGTGTGTAAAAATGATAGGAAATAAGAAGAAACTGTAATTAGTAGAATAGATATGTTCAAAAACAAGAAAAGGAGGTTTCCATTGATTAGAAGAGAGATGCTTACCGCAAAAGAAAGGCGCAGATGGGCCCACAGCAGGGATTGGGACTAAAACTCGAGGAAGTGTGCTGCCCTGTGTGCATGAACCTGGGGGTCAGAAGCGTACCATCTGCCGCTGCCAGACACTGAGAAGCACCCTCCTTGTTTTCTGGGTCTAGAGCCAAGATACTTCTCTAAGACCTGCTCCAGAGGGCTGAAGCCAGGGTGAGACTCCATATCCAAAAGCATGTTGGCCACCCAGGACATCCAAGAGAAAGGGCATAGAAGATGAGTTTTCAACAAAGAACCACAAAGCACCAAAGTGGTGAAAAACATGAACAACTAAAATGGAAAATGAAAAAGTGTAGTAATAGCTGGCCCTATCATATGGCAAGTGCCACCCTGTGTCCTTTAGTCCTTACACTAATCCTATAAATAAGTACTATTTTTTCAGAATGGTGAAAGGCACAGAGATTAATTTGCCCAGTAATAAAGCTAGAATTTGAGTCCTGGTAATCTAGCTCTTGAGTTACACTCATAGCCACTCTGTTGCTGCTTGTTTATACTTCAACAAATAAATATAGGAGAACAACCTCAAAAACAGCATTGGAAATATAGCCTTAAACTGCTAAAGTCAGGAATAACAGCCACAAAATAAGAAATGCGTATAAACAAGCATTTAGTTAATGAAACAAGACCAAGAGATTATGGGGAAAAATTGAAATCTTAAAATAGAAGTAAATTTGGCATATAATGTGACTAGCAGACAAGATGCAAAGTGTTAGTAAATTGGACTATCAAACTGACAAAATGAGAGTGAGATGGGCTGTCAGTTTCTAGCCAACATGCAGAAACAGGGACCAGGTTCACCCCTCCTGGAAAAACAAAACCCAGGTAAAATATGCATTACTGGGATTTTCAGTACACCAGACCTTAGGCATGGAAGGACAGTGATCCCTGAGAGACAGGAAGTAAGTTAGTCCTCTGTTGCACCAGGCCACTGCCTTCAGAGAGTTCCCAAACTTCAGTGCAGCTGGGGAACTCAGGCAGAACCTAGAGGACACCAGCAAATGTAGGATTTGCAGGACAGTGTACCTGAGAGGGAAAAGAGAACTTGCACAGACAGAATTCTGGAGATTTGTAGCATCCTCCTTGAGTTTAGCAGATTATTTCTGGGGAAAGAACCATTCAAAGGTTAGAGGAACAGTAGTACACTGTGCTTACACAGGGCTGAGGATAGTGCCATCCTACCTGAGAGAATAGAAGACAAGTCCTGAGACACGGTAGAGTGTATTACTTGCAAGACTCTTGCCTCAGTAGTGGGGAATAATTAGCCCTATACTAAGCAACACTCTGGTTCTGCGTAAAAAATTTGACAAGACCTGAAAGGATCAGACAGTTTCCATAGAACCATGCCATTATAAAACTCAGAAATATTTGTAGAAATATTTGGCATCTTTGAAAATTACAAGGTATGCAAAATAGGAAAAACAGTCCCTTGGTGAGAATGAACACAAAAATGACAGATGCTAGATGAGCACAGTAGAACTGTACCCTATTCCAAAGTTTAATGAAGACAAGGAAGACACAAAACTCAGATTTCTAGAGATGGAAGTGAGTATCTGATTTAAAAAAGTGGAAAGGGCCCAGTTGAATACCATGATATTGGTAACTTGTCCATTCTTCTCAAAATAATATGTATTTTCATGAAATTTAAATAATCTCAGTGGAATATGTTACTGAAAATAATGAAAAAGTCTAGGTTCATCCAAAAAATAGAGGGCTTATATACATGAAAGATGACAGGCATTTAATCTATTACAGGTAGTTTTAATTAAAAATATGACTCTGATGCAAAATAAACATACAACAGATCTGTGTGGGAACGTAACTGTGTGATAAAAGTGGCATCTCAGTTGAAGGATAGGTCATTCAGTAAATTGTAAGGGAGTGACTGGCTCATTGTGGGAGGAAAAGTTAGAACCTATCTTGTAAGTCCAGGGGACTTGTGGGGGGTGGGGTAAACTTCCAAGTGTTGGAAGAAATTACTGGACAATATAATCTTTGCATGAGGAATAACTTTGTAAATGTAATGCAGGAGAAAATGCTATAGGAAACAATGGATAGGATGTTGATAATTAAAAATTTTTAAACATTCCGAGAAATAGAATCATTGTATTTGCATCCTGTAATAGAAGATATTCTTGGAAAATTATTTTGGTAACCTCAGTTCTCTATTCTGTGCTAGCACTTCTTGTGTCAAAAACAGATACTTTTATAAATTACAATAACATACAGTACTGTAAGAAGTTAAAAACTACAAGCTTTCATTTTTTATCTGATTCAACAAATATGATTACTCTGTCAAATTGTTATAAAAATTTGTAAAGACTGCGCAAACTTTATATATTCTTGACTGAGCAGTTCTACTTCTAGATAGGTATCCTAGTAAAATAAAATTAAGCTAGTGTGTACAGGTAGATGCTCATCAAAATATTATTTTAGTGGGGAAAACATGAGAGCAATCTAACCCTTAAAAGTATGGTATTTTCATGAACTGGAATGTTATGCAACTAATTAAGTCTTTTATCAAGAGTAAGAAAATAAGGAGGTGTACAGAATAATTCTAATACTGAATAAGTGGTAGAAGATACCCAAAGGAATAAAAGGTGGTTATGTGAAGGGAAGTTGTAAATTTATTTTTCAGTTTCTAAAACTAAGTCAAGACACTATTTATTACATGCTGATTTCCAGATCCTGAGATGCTGTGTTGCTTTCTGATATTGTGTGGGAACATGAGAACTGAAACCAATTTGTGCATATTTTTAAATGTTGTAAGCTTTGTAAACTTTTTTACATCTTTTTTTCAGTTCTGCTTGAGATTTCAAAAATTTTGAATACTGGCTTAGATATGGAAACTCTGTCTATTTGTGTACGACTTTGTGAACAAGGCATTAACCCAGAAGCTTTGTCTTCAGTCATTAAGGAGCTTCGCAAGGCTACTGAAGCACTAAAGGTTAGAAATTCACTTATCAGTTCATTTTAAAAGACATTGTATTTAGAAAATGATCAAGGGTGAAGTTATATGAATGAGAGTTAAACTACCAACACCATCAGCAAAGATTCTGAAGACCAGGAGCTTTGCAGCATTTGTTCAGATCACAGAAATTACTATCATGGACCATGTTATCTTTTTCCAGAAACCTCTGATTATGTTTAGAATTCTACCATGTGATGAGTAGAATTGTGTCTGCCCTCACTCCCCAAGATGTATTTGAGTTTCGGTCTCTGGTACTGATGCTTATGACCTCATTTAGAAATAGTGTCTTCGCACATGTAAACCAAGTTAAGATGAGGTCGTCCTGCATTAGGGTAGCTTCTAATTCATTGGACACAGATCCACGGAGATAACACCATGTGAAGACACCAACAGAAAGGGGAGAAGCTCTTAGAGTGTGGAGGCACAAGAGATTAGAGTGATGCACTTACAAGCCAAGGAAAGTTACAAATTATTGGCACCTCCCAGAAGCTAGGAAGACGCAAAAAAGGACTGACTCTTCCCTAGACTCTTCAGAGAGACCATGGCCTCCTAACACCTTGTTTTTGGGCTTCTGTGCTCTAGAAATATGAAGAAATAAATTTCTATTAAGTTTCCCAGATAATGGCCTTTGTTTTATAGCCCTAGAAGTCTAATTCAGATTTTAGTACTGGAAAATGGGGTGCTGCTGAAACAAATACTTTTTTGGAATTCGATAATGGTTAGACTGGAAAGTTTTAATGTGCTTGATGAAAAAAGCTTACATTGCCTCAAGGAGACCTAACAGAACTGAGAATATTATGGGCGGCTCTAGTGAGTGCCCAGGAAGAAGAGAGGAGAGCTCTAGGGAAAGCTTCAGTTGTTTCAGAGAATATATAGCCTTAGGATCGGGTTGTTCCTGGAAGTATAAATGTTAATGGCATTTCTAGTGAAGTCTCAGACTCAAGAACACTTACTGGGCACTGGAGGAAAGGTTATCCTTGTATAGTGACAGAATTTGGCTGAATTTTGTTAGGTGGAAAGAGAATATATAAATGATGAACTTGGACACGTAGGATGATGTATAAACAATGAACTTGGATACTTAGCTGAGGAAATTTCCAAGCAAAGTGTGAAAGGTGCAGCCTGATTTCTCTTTGGTGTTTATAATAAAATGAGAGAAATGAGAATTGAGGAAGGAATTGTAAGAGAACAGAAATGACATTTGATTTAGAAAACCCTTGGCCTGTCTGAATGGTTGTGGAGACAGCTAGCAATGTGGCCAGGCAACCTTTCGGTGAAGAGATTAGATGTATGATGTACCCGGTCAAACCATCTCAGCACAAACACTGCCAACTTGGACTGAAAGGGACAGGGTGCAATGAAGGAATGCTGTCAGATTACTGGAGTCCACAGGTAGGACACTGATAGTTACTTGGCTGTGAGCATGTGTTGTCGTTCAGGATGAGGGAGAAGTCTGGGGATGCTGTTGCCACCATGATCACAGAGGGCTACCGTTCTCCAAATTCAAACTGACCACCTTTTAATTGCTGAGATGGGAATAGGAAAAGTACCATGTTCCTTCTGTTGCTTGCACACACTGATTTCAAATGTTTTGGTGATTTTATTTCTGTTCATATAGCACCAAATCAGGACTAGCGAAACTTCACGTTGCCCCATTAAAATTTGTTCAACAACAAAGTGATTTCTCTTTTTTTCTTATCTCTAAGAAAATGGGACTATATGAAAAATGTCACTTCCCCATCTTCCAAAGACTGCCAAAGTTTGAAGTTGTTTTTGTGGTTTCAGATACCTTTTGATTATTAAATCTGACACAGAAAGTAAACAGAACACATTCACTGAGCAGATTCCTTATAAATATGCACTCAGCTGTCACTACCAGCATCCGGCAAGGCTTGTGTCTCCTTCCTGCCCTCCCCTCCAGTAACTAGTTTTGACTTTTTTTTTTTTTTTAGTCTTGACTTTTGGAGTGGGCTCTTTCATCAAGTTTTCTAAATAAATACAGATCTTTTAATAATAAAGTTTAAATTTTGTAAAATTTTGAGCTCTGTGTAAATGGAATCATACAATAATCTTTTTATTAGATTTTTTTTTTTATTTAAGATTGTCTGTGGAGTGCATTTATGTCATATATAGCTGAAAGGCCTTCCTTTTCTCTGAAATATGCTTCATCCTACAAATACACCGCAATTTTTATCCTTTCTTTTGAGAGTAGAGATTTCAAGTATGGGGCTATTACGAATAATGCTGCTTTGAGCACCGTAGCCCGTCTCTTGATGCATAATGTCTGCATTTCTGTCTGATGTGTACCTAGAAGTAAAGTTGCTGCATTGTAGGTTAGGTGTAGCTTCCACTTGAATACATGATAATGCCAAAATTATTTTTAAAAACAGTCGTATTGATTTATATTTCAACCAGTAGCATATGAGTTTCCCTTTGCTCTGCTCTTTGCCAGTATTTATTATTGTGGCCCTTTTTAATTTTAGTCATTCTAGGCCATCCATGTTTTCCTCATTTGGTTTTATATGCATTTCTGAATACTAGTGAGGTTGAAGGCATTTTTACATGTTTTTTGGCCAGCTTTTTCAGTAGGTGTCTTTTCAAATCACTTGGCGATTTCCAGGGTTATCTAGCCTTTTAAAATTCAAATGTGTGGCTTTCATAGAAAGAAAAAACCACTGAATAATTTAATAAGAATAGCTTATATTTATAATGAGTGCTTTCTTTATAAGACCTTAGGCTCTAAAGGCTGTGGTAGCCTTATTTCCTTACTCACACAGTGATACCACTACACTACTGTTGTGAATAGTGTGCTACTAAGGGAACTGAAGCTTGTGGTAACCAACCCCACATACTTGCGGGTATGTGGTTGAGCTGGGCTATGTAACTTCAGAGTTGTTTACTTTTAACAACAAAGGTTCTTCCTACAATAAAATCTAAAAACTAATGTGAGCTAGCTATTTGGGAACAGTTTTTGGTCTGTGGCATGGGAATATTCTTTGGTTTGGTATTTTCTCGTAACTTGATAAAAATAAAAACAAGTATAGACTGTTATCAATGTTTCTGAAGTTCTAGTGAAAGATTACTTAATACCCATCTTCCACAACTACACGAACTTTTGTATTATACTCAAGTTTCAAAGAGAACAGGCAGAATAGGAAGCAATTTTGGCATTGTACTGCAGTTTGAGAGCTGTAGAGGGGAACTCAAGTCAAATAACTCACAAGTGTTTTGACATAGCATTTTCTTAAGATAATACGTAACCTAGGGAATTAGAATAGGATGTTCAGAAATGCCCATTTGACATAGCTTCTTCAGCGTTACACATTCTCTTTATAGACCATAGTGAAGGGTGGGAGGCAGAACCAATAATAATACCTGAAACTGTTCATCATTTGTATGGAAGCTCAATCTCTCACACACGGAGATGCTCTGAAACACATTCCCCCATGATCTAAAGCCAGTATGTCAGTTATCTCATTAAAACTAGAGCTAGGAGATCCTCAAAGGTTTCTAGGTAAGAAAAAGTGTTAATTAGAACTTTTTCTTGTCTTCTTTAACCCTAAAGAATGTAATCTGTATAATATTTATAAAAATCATGCATGTTCCTGATTTAAAAATATTTAAATCAGAAAAGTCAAAAAAAGGGAACCAAAAAAATCATTCAAGATCACAAGAGATTGCCAGTAATGATATTTGATAAACAGCATTCCAAATAGTTGAGTAGTGCTTTAAAAATCAAAATATATTTAATTTCACTGAATTGTAAAATAATAACTCTTTGTCAGTTGGTTCCCCCTGATTAGATGCTGTCCTCTCTTAACTGCTGCTCTTGGGATGGGCGGGCAGCTGGTTGGCTCAGAGATGTGCCAGCCAGACCTGACTTCCCTGACGATGATTTTATGGGCTTCACAAGTATCCGGGTTCTTCCTTCCTATCACTGCTGCCGATGAATTTTTCACATATTTTATGTTTATTTCTTTTGGTATTAAAATTAGGGCAAAGAAAACCCATTTCTGCTGCATTCTACCCTTTATATCAAGAATTCCTATTAGTTAATTTTATGGTACCTGTCTCTATTTTAGAATGTGCAAAATGTAAATGAGGGACATCTTGAAGTGTTGCAATGAACTGTTGGTCTGAGGCATTAAATTTTCTTTTGCCCTCAGTTAACTCTAGAAAATAGTAACTATTTTATTTTGCCTGAAAACTTTCATAGATTCATAGTGTTGTGAAATCATTTATATGATTATGCATTAAAAGCCTAATGGTTAAATTAAGTTTATTATGTCCATATGGCATTAAGAAGTTACTTTTAGATGGGTGAATGTTATTTCTTAAGTCTTTCTAGAAATACATACCAAGCCATTTATGGATGAATGATAAGGTATCTGGGAATTTCTTTAGAGGCATCTGGGAAAGTACAGTAGTTGGGGTATAGGTGAAACAAAATTAGCCAGATGTTTGTTATTTTATTTTGCTCTTGTTTTCTCCACTTTGTAGAAGGTCTTTTTTTTCATTCTTCATTCTCTTTTTTGCACTATAATAAAACATAGGGAACAAACTAATGAGGCTATGGGACCAACTTGTATCATATTTTAATTTTGCAATAAGAGTACACTTTCACAGGTTCTCTTAACTATATTTAAGATGATACATAGCCTAGCATATAAGAAAGCATATTCTTTCTACTATAGCCTAGCAATAAGTTCCCAAGATAGTCCTGATGTACAGCAAAAATGAAGACCACTATATTAATCCTGATAAAAGTAGCTCAGTTATATGGGGAATAGTCCATTGTTAAATATAGTATAGTATTAACTAAATTTTCCTCCCTGGTGTCTTTTTCCATGTTTTTTTTATTTGTTTGTTTGTTTTTAATAATGAGCCTTTTTTGTGTGTGTTCTAGGCTGCTGAAAATACAACAAGCTGACTTTCTGGAGAAATCTTGATGAGATATGTCAAGCTCTGCGGGAGGATTTGAAGGTTGCATTATAGTCAAGAATGTACAGTAAAATTACTGCCTGCAGCAGTATAGAAAAAAATTTCCTTTTAAAAAGAATTATAAAATCATAGCTTTATAGATCAATGGAAAGTGGCTCACAGAGAGAACTATCAGATGTCTTAATGGCTCTAATGCTTTGGCATTGCTGTGTTCATAGTTATGTATTCCTTATTTATAGCTCTGATAGCTTCAATTTTCTAAGCAGTCTGTCTGGCAGCTGTGCACATCTGCTGTGCCTGGTTGAAGTATAGTGGAACCCATCAGGGATGTGCAGCAGTTATGACTTGTTGACATTTCCATTATAAACTTTAATTTTGAATTGTTTATGCATAACAACTGTGGATTTATGTTGTACTAGGCTGAAAGTTGACAGGATTTTAGCCACCATTTGTGAATTTTGATTTAGATTTCTTATGTTTACCAGAATCTTGTTTTTAAAATAAGACCATAGAGAATATTTCTTGTAATCTGCTCTTTAACAAAGAACAGTTAGTCTTTGAAGAGTTTTGGGAAGTTAATAGTGTGAGCCAATCATTTTTGTATTGAATAAAAAATAAAATTTCTAGAAACTAAAATTTTAAAAGTACTGACAGTGTTTAGCGTAGTATTATTTTTAGTTTAAATCATTTAAATCTAATAGTAATATTGAGAATTTTTTCTAAGTTTTATATCCTATGAAAGCCTACAAAATAATTTATACAATGAAATGTAGCCACCATGCAAAATTCCTTTTTACTTTTATTACATAAAAAGTATCTGGAGGGCCAGGGATTTAGCTCAGTGGTTCTGCCACCTGCCTTGCAAGCGCAAGGACCCAAGTTTGATCTCTGGTACCAAAAGAAAAAAAAAAAAGTAACTGGAATGCTTACCTAGTAATCTTGGGTGGTTATTTAATAAATCAGTAGGTAGGTGGTATGTTTCAAAAATATTGTATTTTCTAAAGAAGTAAGGATTTGCACTCATTAAACAACCAATTAAATGTGAATCAGGAATTATAAGTATGGTTTTCTAAAATCCTTATTTGTCTTCATTTTTACCCTTGAAGTTTTAACTCATCAAAGAGATAATTCGAGAATAAATTTTAGAAAACTTAGTATAGAATTGGTTCTGTTCCTGTAACAGAATCTCAGTGAAATTTTTTTTGCAAAATTAATAAGGATTTAATCACATTTTACTGTTTCTTAAATTTTAAGTTTTGTTAGATGCCATTTAAATGATGATACAAGAATTTACTTTTCAGTAGCATTTCTTTTTGTTCAGATACCTGAATGATAAGATTTAGCAATATTTAAATAGCCAGCTTCTCTGACATTTAAAAAATAAATGTTGGCTTTTGGCTATTTCAGTTTTTCAAATATATGGCATCTTTACCAATTAAACTGAAAAGTCTATTTGCAGGATGAGTTAAAAGACAGAACTTGTGATAAGTGTTTGACTGTTAACAAACATTGCAAATACTGGCTGTTATTTATAAAATCAAAGAAAACGCTTCTCTCAAACTCCAAATTTTGTGTATATTTTTGGGCCTTAAGAGTTGATGGTTTTATTTATGATTTTGTAGATTAAGTTATTTATGTATGAAACAAAGTAGGAAAATATACGGAAAAATGATTATGTTTACAGAGAGGACTTTCATGTGTCACACTTCTTAAATGTAAACATATATTTTTAATGCACACTTAAGTAATATTTGAGAAAGCAAACAAAATAACAAAAGTGAAGTGTCACGTATGTGTCAGCTTTTAAAATAAAGCCGTTTTGGTGATATTGGCATGTACTTTTGATTTAATGTATGCTGTGAATTCAGTTGTGAATAGTCTATAAATATTGATATGCTTATTGTGTGTCATTGGAGACTATTTAAAGATAGGGTGTGTCATTTACAACTAATATCCACACTGTTTTACAACCCCTACCACTCTCCACCTTGAACTTTCATCATTCCAAACTGAAACTATAACTACTAAGCAATAATTTCCTGTTCCTTGCTCCTTTCAGCTCCTGGCAAATATTTTTCTTCTCTCTCTTTTTTTTTTTGGTACTGGGGATCAAACTGGGGACCTTGGGCTTGCAAGGCAGACAGCGGAACCACTGAGCTAAATCCCCAGCCTTGGCAAATATTTTTCTACTTTGTATCAGTTTGACTATTCCAGTTACCTCATGTAAACTGCATCATACAGTATCTGTTAGTGTATCTTATTTCACACAGCGCAGTGTCTTTAGGATTCATCTCTGTGTAGCATATATCAGAATTTTCTTCCTTTTTAAGGGTGAATAATGTCCATTGTATGTGTAGTACCACATTTCGTTTATTCATCTATCAATACATTTGTGTTGTTTTTACCTTTTGGCTTATTACGAGTAATGCTGCCCAGATCACTGATTTGCAAATGCAATACCTGTTCATCTCCCTGCTTTCAGTTCTTTTGCACTTATACCCAGAAGTGGAAGGATGGGTTAGAGCTGGGTAGGACTAGAAGCAGAAACTATTTAGGATGCTAGGACTGTGACCCAGGCAAAAGTGCTTAAATCCTGATAGATCCCAGAAAACCTACCAAAATCACATGGGATTTAATGGCAGGTTATAGGATTTCAAAATGGAGAAGAAACTGAAGTGACTGAGTTTCTAAGATTTTGTTTCTTTTTTCTTTTTTTTTCTTTTGGTACGGAGGATCGAACTCAGGACCTTGCACTTGCGAGGAAGGTGCGGTGCTACTGGGCTACATCCCTAGCCCAAAGATTTTGTTTTTCTTGGGAAAGTGATTTTTATTTTAGGAATATAGTTTTTAACATATACATTAAATCTCACCCTTGCCAAGCCTCCAAACACTCTTCCCTTACCCACCTATATTTTTTGTCCTTTAGCACTTATACTCTAATATATGTTACTTAGTAATTATATTTATTTCCTGTCCACCTCTACTTGAAAAAGCCCCCAAGGGCAGGGAGTTTTCTAGGTTTTGTTCCTCAGTATCGTGAGACTCTTGAACAGTGCCTAGCACATAGTAAGTTCTCAATAAATACACATTGGCTGAATGAATGGATGGATGGAGCATCTGAGAGCCAATATCTACATGCTTGAAGAGGAAGCATCAGCCCCATGGCACATAATAAAACTTAGGTACAAAGTGGTAAATAATCTTGGGAAGTGGTAGAACCAGGATTGAACCCAGGTAATCTGACTCTAGAGCCACATACCTTAATGTTCTCAGTATACAATACCATCTCATGGGGTGAAGAGGTGAAAGGGGAGAAGTGAAAGGAGATTGGGGATCTGATGCCCAGCGTGGCAATTGACACCCTGAAAGTAGATGATCATAACAAGACAGAAGATTAACGATAGATACTTATCTTTCCCCATTCATCCTCATAAGGGCTATTGCTAATTATGGTGGTCTGGTGGATTTTTTTTGTAGCATCTCAGATCTATAGTACTGTGAAGAACAGGTTCAAATCACTCATTTTCCAGAAGTGGTATATGTGGGAAACCCAGTTATAATAAAAAATGGCCTCCCCTTTATGAAATTCAGTGTTGCGCTCATATATAACAAGTTTGAGTATTTAACGTATTAAAAAAAATGATGGTGCACCTCACAACCCTAAAAGACAGCCTCAAGAAATCATAACAAATGACAATGCCCATTGGAATGGAGCAGAATATTGAGGTATCTTGTGGGTCACCAGTAGTTTAGTGGAAGCACAGGATGTGAAAGCAGTCCCCATTATCACTTCTTAACTACTGAGAGCCATAAATCGCCAGATGGACACTTAGAGAGTTACATCAAAAGCCTTTAAGTAGGTTGTTCTGATAATTACACTTTCAGAGGTAATGCTGGAAAACTCTTTGCACCTGTTAAATGTTTTAGAGGCACGTCTCTGTGCTCCCCTACTAGCAAATGGCCTTTTTATTGTAACAGCTAGGGCTCATATGTGGATTTGCTGACTGCTATACACTGGAATATCTAAATAATCGAAGGCACATTTTATGAAAACAAATTACATCTGATTCAATCTAAATAGCCAGTTTGTGAAACTGGTCTAAGCTACCACCTATTCAGTGTCTCACCATTTAGCGAGAGGAAAATGAACTATATGACTGCTCTGGGGAGAAACAGGTTTTCTGGTTTTTCTAATTTTAATCAGTATTTGTTAGTCAAAGAATATCTGATAAACCTCCAGGAAAAACAGGCAATGGTGGAAATTCTGAGGAGGCAGTATATTCTGAGTTTTGGGCTTTTTTTGTTTTTTGAGACAAGTTCTCAGTAATTCAAGCTGGCCTTGAACCAGCAGTGATCTTCCTGTTTCAGCCTCCCCAGTGCTGGGATTACCAGTGTGTTCCATCACACCCGGCTGTTCTGAAAACTAAGTGATTATGTGCAGGTGGCTTGTATGCAGACATTTGAAGTACATCCCACTGGACCTCATTTTTTCTGTTGTATCATGAGAGTTTTCACCCAGAATCTCCAAATCTGTGCCCCCAAAGTTGACATTTCCTAGAGCATCAACATGTTGGATTTTTAACCCAGGGCTCATTGTTCTCAGTTGCTTCTGATAAATCTGTATTTATATACAGCTAAATTATTATTTTTAAACATTTTTCTTTAAGCTCAAATCTAGGGAACTGGGAGTTTAGTTCAGTGGCAGAGTGTTTGCGTAGTACACATGAGGCCCTGGGTTTCATCTTCAGCACTGCCAAAGAATAAACATTTAAAACTCTAAAAACATTTGTTTTGAAAATTAAGATTTACATGACTACTTAATTTGCCATAGCTATAAAATATTTACAAGGAACATTAAATACTGAATGATATCCTTGCTAGGTATTCTTAAAAACTGACTCCGAGGTTTGCTTTTTCTTTAGCAAAAAGCAGATGAGCAAGTGTTAGTCTGAGACATAAAATCAAGTTTTCTTTTGATGATATCAGAAGGATTAGAAGAGCATTAGAATCTCACAATGGCATTTATTGCATTTTACATGCAT